TGTGGCAACATTTGGGTAGTCCTGATCTGCTAACTCTTGTGGGCCACACGACGCTCAAAAGGGAGTATAATGAGCTCCCAAATGGAGTTGGCGTGACTCTTCAAAGAGAATCATACACGTGGCAAGCCACAACTCTAAAAAAAGGGGGGGTGGGGTCAAATACATTTCTTGCTCTCCCTTTTCTTTTGGCGAAGGGGCGGGGCCCCTTAGCACCACACATTCTCCGTCCGTCCATAAACCCCCACGCGGCGTCTACAGCAGATGGAAACATTGGTGAACAAAAAAAAAAAATCGATCAAAAGGCTGTTGACCAGAACCATGGGCAGTCTGAACCATGACGCTTCTAGACCGGCAGTGCAAAGACAAACAAAATAAAATGCCGCAGCAGGGGAGAAACACCCATCAATAAAAGCGGATGGCAGAACGGAATGTTAGCCTGGACAAACTAGAAGGCCGACAGTTGGCCCGAGACGCGAGCATGTGGCATGAGATGCGAGCATGCGCAGTGGGGGTGTAGACGCGACACCACCGACGCCAGATTTGCGAACACGTAAATGCATTTAAATTCCCGCCCTCGTCTGCGCATTTAATATCATATTGCACCAAAACAGCCAAACGCACTGAATTAGACGGTACCACCCGTTGGATATGTTCGCAAAGGACAGCAATGAGACGAGGTTCGAGAACGCGCTTGTTTGATTACTTACGGCAGCTAAAAACAATATATAGCCCTCAGCCCTCTTCGGGGCCCCGAAGAAGTGTCGAGGCACGCTCGCTTTTTGCTGTCAAGGTCACCGGTTTTAAGGGAAATAAATATTGCACCACGGCATTCGATTGTGTCAGGGACTACCGCAAAACTCTGAACAAGCCCCCACCCCACGCCTCCTCACCTGTCTCAACTTCCTTTTTTTTCAACCTTTTTTGCGCTGCAGAATCTTGCAGCAACTGTGGGAACATTTGAAGAGCGTCTTTTTTCCCTTGTCACAAAACATGTTTTTCAAGCGAGGATTATAGCTCGGTACCAAACCGGTTTATTGCTCTGAACCAAACCTTTACCTAGAAAGGGTTGCGTCGGGGGGGGGGGGGGGGGGGGCTAAGCTCGTTCAGTATTTTGACGGTAATCTCGATCAGGTCCGACTTCTCATTTCTGCTCTGTTCTACATTGATCAGCAACTGACATATACATAAGCACGCTTGACAGGCATCAAAGCGCTTTACAATCAACGCCAGAGGGACCTATGTATAACAAAGGGGCCGTACATCAGTGGTTATATACTCTCCTTCCTTTCTCTATATATAACTTTTAATCCTATTCTGTTAATCCCTCCTTAACCCCATCCCTCGTGAGCTACTGTTGAGGTGTCGCACTCTGATGCAGACAGTTACGGGGCTCACTTTTCTTTTCCCTTAAAGAATCACATAAGAAGAATACATATCAGAGTATATGCAACAGAGGGTTATGCACCACGGCATGCGCTCAGGGAGTCAAAAGGGGCGTACACCAGACACAACTGTATGGAACCGCCTTATGCACCGAACTGCGCGAAGCACCTTCGGATAACATTTCGTGCGATCGAAAGCGCCGGGACACGTGGCCAACGCAACCGCAGCGGAAGCGTGTAATAGTATATGCGATTACACTTTCGCTGGAGATATGAGCACGTATTCGTTACGCAACACCGAGAACTCCAGGCAACACCATTTTTTTTTCGTGCTCGTTCTTCGCGAGGCCATTATAATTGCAGATACACTGCAGGCAACCTCACGAGCTTGCGCGCTGACTCTTTTGCGTGGCATGTATATACGAGTGCATCGCGATAACGCTGCTATTACACACGAAGGAGCTTACGTAATCCCCGCTACGTGCGTTGCACCGTGCGTGTAAGGAGGCCACAGGAAACACAGGCGCGTCACTAAAGCCGTGGCAGTGAACGTCAACACAGCCCTTCCACTTGACCGACTTGGGACAGGGTCACCGGCTTCGCTCATTAGAAGTGGGGCAGTACTAGTTACAACGGCCTTTTCTTTGTGTGTGTGTATGTATGTATGTGTGTGTGTGTGTGAGTCGAAACTTTGGCGCGTTATGGCAACATTCCTTATTCAACCACCGCCATACACACTTTCTTTCACTGTTCGCGATATGAAATGAGAAGCAGCATAGAAGTGTGGCAGCTTGGGCTAGTTGGTATAGCATGACGATAGTCATAGCGCGAGAACAAACTCGTGTCCTTCTTGTCTGCGTGTCGTCGTTTTGTTGTCTCGCGCTATAACTATCGAGAAGCAGCAGCTTATGTGAGCGTTCTAAGCGCAAGAAAGTTAAAAACACGTAGTCAGGCGGTTGACAAAAACGTAGTCGCGTTACTCAACCCAAAGTTAAATTTAAAAAAAAAATGTTTATCCTCATCTACATCTGTGCCTGTATTGCGTGCCATTTCTTTCTGTGCATTTTGAACTGCTCTTCGCAACAATTCCCTAAAAAGCATATTATGTAACACATTTTTGTCTGATGAATACTTGTACTTTCCTATCCGTGATGGCCTCCTTTAGAGCCGACAGTGTTAATAAATAAATGAATTAAATGAACATTTCTCGAGCATTGGGTAGCGTTATGTTCAAATCTATTTTACGGGACTGCGCAAAGGAAGATAGCAATATTAGCGTTATAATTTCCATTTACTCAAGTACTACTTGAGCTGTAAAGCTCGGGTGTGATAAGTAAGCGATGACCATTATTTTAATTGAAGGCACGATACTCGCACGTGCATGATTTCGGCGAGGACGTTCGTAACGCGAGAAGTTGATAATCGCGGTCATATCCGGATGAAGATGTGGCATTGACGGCCGCTCGAGGGCTCCTTATTCTATTTGTGAGCCTTTCTTTGTCACAAAAAGGGAGACGACTCCCATTGCGACGCAAGCTGAGACATTACGCTCCTCCTGATGTCAAACTCCTGGCCTACCAATCAATAATCCGACCAAAGTTAGAATATGCATGCATAATATGGGACCCGTTCACACAGAAAAACGTCAATAAACTAGAAAGAATCCAAAGAAAAGCTGTAAGGTATATATACTCTAAATTTCGTCACACTGATTCACCTTCTGAGTTAATTAGAGCTAATGGCATTGAACTCCTTGAGTCACGACGGAAGACATTTAGGCTTAATTTTCTTTCCCAACTTCTTCAAAGACAAACAGCACTAGACCCTACACAGTACCTGACACCCATATCGACAAGGCATACGAGACACCATCACCCCGGAACCCTCACACCTTATTTTGCACGGACAGATGTATTTAAATTTTCTTTTTTTCCACGAACAGTGGAAGAATGGAACCTTCTAAAAGACTCTGTTTAAAGATTCACTTTGGTTGATTTACTGTGTGTAAACTGTGTAACTGTGTGTTGGGTGTGTAAACCTGTATGTTGATTTTTTTCCTTTTTCCTTTTCTACACGACTTGAGTGCCTAACATGTACTTGCTACTTGTACCGTGCCCACCTGCTTAGACCTGTGAAGGTCTGCAGTATGCATTAAATAAATAAATTAATTACGAGTGCGCTGCATTGTCAGCGTCTCATTCGAGCGCTATGAACTGTACGTATACCACCACTGTAGGCTAACCGAAGAGGAACCTTGTACGGCCACGGCCGCGAGCGCCACCTTGATTTGTCAACCGCTAAACAGTTTCCTTTCAAACGGTAGGGGCTTTGAAAAAAAAAAAAACGTGTCCTTTTAGGACACAATAGAAAAATGCGTCGTCGCGTGCGATTATTCTTGTGAAGCCCACGTCGCTAAATAGCCTGCTTTGCGCGAGTACGCTTTTCAGCGATAAAGGGGTAACCTTGAGGATGCTGCGCGCATCGCCCATAAAAGCGAAATGTAGTTTGCGCCAACGCCTTTTCTTTACTTTTCTTTCGCTGCGCAGATGATTAGTGTTTCAACATCCGGGTTTCCCTCTTTTTCAATCCTATGTTAAAGAAGTGAAACGCAGACCATAGAGCACTGCTGCGCGTGGGAAATCAGGGGTAAATCTCTGGTCTACAATCACCACGCTACTATATGAATAAAAAAAAAAGCCAAAGAACAGTGAGCTGCCACGGCCGCTGGACCATGGTACTGCACGGAAACGACGTTTGAAAAACTTTGCAAAGTATGGTGGCTTATTGGTATAATGCCCATTCTGTTCAGAAAAGCGCTCCCGTAACTACGATTTAAAAAGTTGGTGGGCGTTTATATGCTAATAAAACCAATTAAAATTTAATTATGTGGCACACTGTAGTTAGAGGCTCGGGATTTTTTTTTTCTTATTGTTATTGAATGTGCTGGAAAGCTGGCTGTGGTTCCTCATCTCACATTACAGGTGACATCTTCAGTACAAAATTCGCACGTCGTTGACGCCCTAGAGCTTACAACTTTGCAGCGCCGAAGACGTTAGGCAACCACAAAGGGTAAGTTGGAGCGAACTTTTTTTTTTGCACTTTTTCTTTTATCTGTACGACTATAGAGATACAAGACGTTGAAAAACCACACTCCATTCAACTGCCTGTCAGGTCACGGTAAAATCAAATTACAGAGGAAGTTGCGACCCAAAGCTTGACGTATAAAGCAGGCAAAGAAAGAAATGAGTCACACTAGCCGCGGAAACCGCAATGAAGATAACGTGCGAGTACGTGAGAAAATAGGAAGAGAGAATAATGAGCGTTCGGCCACAGGATTTCAGTGGACCACGTTCTCGCTCCTTATCTTTCTTCCCCGGAAAAATTGCGTGGTGCACATACACATAACTCATGCTCGTTCCATATTTTAACGACACGCCTACAGTTATGCAAGCCCCCCCCCCCCCCCCCCCCCCCCCCCCCCCGCTACCGAACACAATTCACTATTAGTCATCCCATTCTATAAACAACGCATCCTACTACTGACCTACCAACCCACAGTATCGGCCCCGGAACCGGGGTGTGCCAGACTTTTTTTTTTTTCTCGGGTCATTGACTCACCGCGTACAACGGAAGGTAGATCTTGAGCGACTCCCTGAAAGCGTGCAGTCCAACGTAGACGGATGCGTCGACGCAGGACGGGGTCCAGGTGTGGCCGATCTCGTAGCAGTTGTAGGGCAAGTGGTAGTCCAACAGTTCAGCGTACTTGCTGAACACCGCCATGCCGCCCGAGATGCACACACACGCGCGCGCGCGTGCTAGAGGGACCCTATATCCGAGTTAGTGAAGCCGCGGCACCATTTGAAGTCCCGCCACAAACGAGGATCGCAAGCCTGGAATGCACCTTCGCCGCTGAGCTCCCGAGTGAGGCAGTTCTGCCGCTGCTGCTGCAGCCGGCGAAAGACGTGCTGACAAGAAAGCGGCGAGCGGGTGGCGTTGGCCGCTCGCGTTTCGCGTCTCGCCGCGAGCACGCGTTGGAGATCGCACGGAGGGAGGGCGTGCGTAACCTAAGTAGAAGGTCACATCTGATTGGCCGTCGGCTGCCCCCAAATGTGACGTTTGCTCTGACGTCATGGCCATTTTGTGTTACTGGACGTACAAAGTATTGTAAGAAACACAGTAAGAAAACGACCAAAGTGGGTGGTATACAGCGCCATCTTAAGTAATGGTGACTCATTTGCGGTCATAGTTTGCACTTGCAGTACATAAAAGCATGACCTTTAAGATCTGTAATAAATACTCAGAGACTTTGTCGCATAAAACGCAGTTTTTAACACCCCACGTTAACAATGTTTCTTTCTAAATTGTAAAATTTTTGTTACATGAATAAACTTGTGAAAGATATAATTGTAAAAAAAGTTACTGCAATCACAACAGTTTTTTGTCATGTGACACTACAACACAACATGGCAGCGTCCTGTTGTTTCCCTGTGCGTTCACAGCTTTCATAAAAAGAAACGGGCCGCTTTATCAGCACTGTCACGCAATCAGCTGTTGCTATTGGCATTCCGAACATAGCTGAGCAGCGTCCATTTGTTTCCTCGCTAGGGCGTCGCATCATAACCCAGATCGCCGAGTAGTTTTCATTCAATCTGCGCTGAAGAGGACGTATTCAACCAACGCCCGGTACCCGATGGATGACGACTACGGTATCGTGGAATATTTTTACGAGCACAGCGGTCACAGATGCGGCTACTGCAAATCGGAATCGACGAGCCTCAGTTGCGGTACGTGTGTGTACTAGCGCCGCTTGCCGTTCTTGTCGTAGTCGCTGTCAACAGCGGTCGGTGTTTCGTTTGAGTTGTTGGTTTAACTTGTCGGGGTGCGATCGCTTCGTCTTCCAGGCATGTGGGCTCACAGGCTGACGGCGGGAATTTACGACGACCTGCTTAATCGAGGGTGGAGAAGGTTAGTGCGCATTGTTTCGCTTCTTCCTTGCGCCTCCGCCCGCTGCGCTTGGGTGGCGTTTCCAGCGCGCGTCTCCCTTACTTCTGTTTATCTTACGAAGGTCGGGCGAGTACTGCTACAAACCAATGATGAAGACGACCTGCTGCCGTCAGTACCCCATAAAGTAAGTTGAAATAATCCACTTAGATTTTTTTCCGTGCTTCGATTACACGCTAAAGATTGAGAAAAAAAAAAATGCTCCGTTTTCCATCACCTTGGCGCAGGCTCGACGTTGCTGAATTCCAGCTAACCAAGTCGCAGAAAAAGCTGTTGAAGCGCGTACACAAGTTCCTGGCTACAGGCAAAAGGAGTGAAGGAGGAAAGGTAACTCCTCGTTTATCGCGCTCCCTGCGCGTGCCCATCATCACAGGCGTTGGACCTTGTTCTGTGTGCGAGAACATGTCGTGTAGCGTATTGTCCCGCTACTTGTGAATGAGTTGTCATTGGTGACCGGGAGCGTACTAGCCTACCTTATTTACTCGAGTACTGCCAGCACTAATTATCACTGGCTTATACTGGCCAAACGATACCTCAAGTTGGCTAGTGTTGGCTAACCATGAGGGAATGTTTGTTGGCTATTCACTGTTACAATAGCAACATGCAAGCTCGATGGAATGCTTGAGTTAACCACTTTTACATGCTTCGGCAATGTTTCAGATATATCACATGTTGACCATTTGTTGCAAAAATTTTGTTGTCATTATAGTGGGAAATTATTGTTTGTGTCACAAAACGTGTCTGCCTAAGATGTATACTATGTGAACAACAGCGTAGGTTGATTTTGTCGACATTTCTTTTGCCCACCCAGCCAGACGAAAAAGAGGATGACTGCTCTGAGGCCGCGGGTGACAGGGTCATGGAGATGCCCGACTTCTCGGACAAAAAGTCGAACGTACAACTTGACCTAGAGACCTGCAGCTTAAAGACCCCTGGTGGTTTGTTTGTTGTTCTTGATGTTGTATTTGGTATTGCTGCCATAGAGGAGGGACTTCATGGTTATTGCTGCTTCTACAACTTTGCCTTGATTTACCTACTGTTGTTGTAGAGCCCCCGGCTGGCTGGAGCAATGCACTAAAGATTCTGTGGTAGCCTATTGTGTGCAACTATCAAGTGTCTTTTGTATTGACAGCAGTCTTCTTTTGCACAGTTGGCACATTGTTGATCCTCTCTAGGCCAGTGCATCGAGCGCTGTAAATTGTCATGCTAGTATAACGGGCCTGATTGCAGTGTATAGATTACAAGATGTCTAGAAGGCAGCTGCAAGTGATTACACTAATTTAATTAATGACTAAGTTTCCAGAAGTAATTCTTGTACTGTAATGTGAGCATTTGTTCTTGATATTTCATGACCTGATGGCGGCATTAAAGGCGCTTTGAAACACTTTTTCAAGTAACCATAGAATGGATTCACTGAAAGAGCATATTGCCTCACGAGTTAAATGCTGCAAAAAGCTTAAAAATCCATCTAGTACGAGCGAAGTTACAAAGATTTGTCTCGCACATCAATCGCATTCTCTCTTTTCTCGTTCTGACAAAGCGCTGGAAGCTAAGCAGAGAGAGATGGCGTGGGCAAAGAAATTATGTCATGCGCGCCTCGTGACCTTGAGCACTCTTTTTTTTTTTCTTCAAATAGACAACTTTTTCAGTGTGATGCACACACGTGAACAAGTCTCGGCCTGCTGCGGTGATCGCTGTAACGACTGAACGCACAGTGTTCAAATCAGCCAATGGCTGATATAAGACCTTCTACGAGCAATTTCTGAGCTTTCTCCTTAACTTGCAGAGAGAAGAGAAATTAATTTTTGGTAACTTCAATAATTTATTGTGAATTCGAGACCTCATGCCGTGCTATAGCATTTGGCTCGCGTGTTCTCGGGAGCCTTTACTACCTACTGGTCGCATTTGCTGACCATACTCAAAAAGTGATGCAGGGCCCCCTTAAAGTTACACAACACGATGACTCACGCTTAATATCTTTCCGCTGTGTTGTTTCGATGAAACATCGCCATGAGGTTGTGCAGTCTAAATAGTAGCACAGATGGACTTTAACAAGCAAAAAATCGTTGGTACACTCATACCTCAATATAGAGAACATGGATATAACAAAGTAAATGAAAAATAGTTTTGCAATAGATACAGTGTTAGGGATAAACATTATAACGAATTTTCCGATATAGCGAACTTATTTTCTTGTAAAGTGCAACTTTGTTATATTGAGGATTGAGTGAATTAGATACCAAATGCAGGCTGCGAAATTGCAGTCCTGTGCCTACACGACATGTAAGAATCAAAATATTTTTTGTTCTTTTGATTTTTTAAGACACAGCTACAAGTGGAATTGGAAATGAAGAAGTTGTAGTTCCTGAGCCTATGGATCAGCATTCTGAAAAGCCAGCAATGTCTCACAAAGAAGCAACCGCATCGAATGCTGAAAAGACAGCTCATGTGCCAAAGAAAGGTACACGTGTACATGAAAGTCCCAAGTTTGGCAGGAATTCTTAAACTTGTTGTCGTACCTGCTTTCAGAGGGCTGGAATAATAAGCGATTTATTTCTGTCGAAATATACCGAGCATTTCATAAAAAGATGTGTCAGACATGTAGACTTTTCTAGCTAAACAACTGGCTTAATAATCTTTACTTGGCCTGTATAAAAATGATCAAGATGAAGGGAGGACAGCACAACCAGTAAACCTTCATCACTGTGCCGTCTTCATGTCCTTTTTCATTCGCCTTAAGCCTTTTATTTTGTAGTACAGAGAACATCGATGTGTACAATGGCCAACTCGCTCAACACCATGTTTCTGAGGCTTATTCGTATTCGCATATTGGACGGATGTTCATAAGTCTGCAGTGGCTAGTTTCATTATCATGTCAGCATGCATTACTTGTCCATTAGTCTCAAAGATAGATAAATCGCGCATTTAATCTGCTGCGACACTACAACAATTGTGGCATTTAAGTTGAAACAGAGCTTTGGCCTCATTCATTTTTTTTTATAAAAAAAACATGGTACGTGCTGTTTGAGGCAGTGTACCATTCTCCTAGAAGAGCATTTTTAACGGTCTTCCTTTGCTTAGCTTACTAGTAGTCTTCAGTGTTTCTTTGTGAAGTATTTTTCTGCAAAGTGTGTTCATCGTACACTAAATGTCTGCGCTATTCACAACGTCCACTACTTGCAAAGAACATATGAGAGACAGTATGTAAGTACGTAGGCATACATAAATGTGCAACTCCTACACACAAGAATCTGTAGTATTTCTGATGTATTTTTCTTATCATTTGATATTGAATATCATATTTTTACTCATGACAGGTCTAGGTGCCGACCCGAACAAGCCAAAGTGCCGTAAGGCCCGTGACATTCGCCGAGAAAGGAAGCTTTTGAAAATGAGTAATGCGGGCAAGGATCTCAGCCCCGGCAGTGAAAAGGTAGTTCGTGTATCCTACATTCTAAAAAATGTAGGTGTACAGCATACTGACTTCAAGTTGCATGGTATTGTTAATAAGCAGCACTATATATTTTGAGTTTTCTCGTATTTTTCGTGAAATTGCCTTTCAAGTGCAGAGGCGTGGACAGATATTTTTTCCAGGGGGGGGGGGGGGGACACATTTTTGATTTCATGGCGGGTGAAAGGGCAATGCTTTAAAATGGTCATTTTTCGCTCTGTATGCTAAGGCAAAAAGAAATTAAGGGTTAGGGAGTGGCACGGCCTTGGTGTGCCACCCCCTGGCTACGCCACTGTTCTAGTGGCTGCATTTTATTCGGATTTGTCAGCATACGACATGCATAACTGAAATTAGGACAGCTGTGCAACTCTACTTTTTTCCTTTTCTAGGCTTTGCATTCTTCAAAAAAATCTAAGAACGAGGCAAAGTCGTTGGAAGACTTCTTGTTTGAACCGCTCCCGCAGGACGCTGCTCACAAACTCGAAGTAAGTAAATGACAAGTTTTCTACATAGTTGCTTTTGTCTGAGAATGTTTTCTTCACTGTGGTATACTAAAAAAAATGCAAGGCGTTTCTTTAGTATACTGACTGTTGTGAACGATTTCTCGTGACAACCGCATCATGTCACTGCAAATCTGGCTGCTTAATGTAATGTTGGTTCTGATGTAGCATGTGTTTTAGTCAGAATTTCGCTAATACAGCACAAACTGTGGACCCTAGAAATAAGTTTATATGCGCATCGGGTAGACCTAAAATTTTATGTTTCCATTGGAAAGCACTGTTGCTCTTCCACTGCAGAAAACATGCCTGCTTCTGCCACTCCTCCTTTTTTTCCAGTTGTACATAGCCTTCTCCCCCTCTTTCCTGGGGTACAGAAGTGGTTGCTATGGCATCCTACGCAATGAGAAGGGTGATTGTAGCACATATCCAACTTCAAATGTCATTCCTACCCAACGCAGAACAAGTTCGCCGTAGTATCCAGTGTTCCTGACAAATATATATACATTAAAAGCTTATTAATTTGAACGTTCACTTGAGTCGAGCTGATGACCTTGTCCTGGCACAGCCCTGTGCATTTCTATGGGAGAAAACTCGCGACAGTTCAGATGCGTCGGTGTCCACAACAGTTAATACCAACTGAGAGCCCCCCGGCTTTCATCTTTCTTCCCAAAAGGTGGCTCGAAGTGATCGCAGTGGGTTGAAAAACCAAAACAAATTTACTGGGATTCAAAACTACAGAACAGCAGCATTTCTCCACAGATGAAAATTCAGACGCTGCACTGAAGCTCTTAAGCAAGTTGCAAAAGACCGTCACACAGAAACGATAAAACATTTGCAGGCAAATTACTGATTACTTTTTATTTTGATTGCATTAGCTGTTAAATGTTAATGGATATGCTTTGGAGCATAAATAGCATCTTGTAATTCGACATAAAAGCTCAAGGCTTACATGAATGTATGTTGCTGTTTGTTTCTGATGTGCTGATCGATTAATTCCGTTAGCTGTTAAAGGGACACTAAAGGCAATTATTAAATCGATGTTGATTGTTAAAATAGCTGTCCAGAAACCTCGTAGTGTTACTTTTGTGCTAAGGAAGGGCCCATTTTGAACATAAATTCACATTTTAGAGATCTGCATCGGTTTAGCGCACTTTGAATTACCCTCCTCAAGAGGCGGACCGACCGGACCAATTCACGACACTGTTGCCGTGCACAACAATGCCCGGCTTTACTGCGCTAATAGCAGCAGATCAAAAGCAGCGGGAGCCACAGCAGCAACAACGGCTACTGATCAATTTCCCCCATTGGCTTTGAGATTGCAGACAGTTTTTTGCTTCAACTGCTCGCCGCTAGATGGCACCACCTGTTCCGTGTCATCATCATCATCATCAGCCTGGCTACGTCCACTGCAGAACAAAGGCCTCTCCCATGTTCCGCCAGTTAACACGGTCCTGTGCTTGCTGCTGCCAATTTATACTTGCAAACTTCTTAATCTCGTCTGCCCACCTAACCATCTGTCTCCCCCTAACCCGCTTCCCTTCTCTGGGAATCCAGTTAGTTACCCTTAATGACCAGCGGTTATCCTGTCTACGCGCTACATGCCCGGCCCATGTCCATTTCCTCTTCTTTATTTCAACTATGATATCCTTAACCCCCGTTTGTCCCCTAATCCACTCTGCTCTCTTCTTGTCTCTTAAGGTTACACCTACCATTTTTCTTTCCATTGCTCGCTGCGTCATCCTCAATTTAAGCTGAACCCTCTTTGTAAGTCTCCAGGTTTCTGCTCCGTAGCTAAGTACCGGCAAGATACAGCTGTTATATACCTTCCTCTTGAGGGATAGTGGCAATCTACCTGTCATAATTTGAGAGTGCTTGCCGAATGTAGTCCACCCCATTCTTATTCTTCTAGTTACTTCAATCTCGTGGTTAGGCTCTGCGGTTATTACCTGCACTCTGCGGTTACTCTGCGGTAACCACGCGAAAATTGAATTTTTGAACCATTCGCGCCATTCCTCATAGTAACGTTCGGCGGTTCTTTTTTCCTTGAACCGAACAGAAACGAACAAGCAGCATTTTATTGCGTCTCTTTATGTACGGAAGGTTCTTTATTTATTCCAGTTAGATCGACTACTATTGATTATTTGTAGGCCGTCTGTCTGATGTTGTTGGGATCATTTTGAAAATGTCCTACTGCAGAGCTTGTGTTCTTGTGCATTTACCTTAATTTCTCTGTAAGTAGGGCACTGTTGTTCATAATGTTGTCGTTTCAGATGTTGTCATACATTGAAGTTTCACTCTGATGCAAATTGTTATTTGACTTCAGTGTCCCTTTAAAGTTCCATGAACTCATTATCCGAACTCACCCGCCACAAATGTGCACTATCGCCTCATTCGTGATGAGTCCCGAAATGGCTTTTTAGGTAATGCCCAGGCATCATTCTAGCATTGGAAGAGGGTTTCAGCATGGCTTTTATGCTCGCTTTTATTTAAAGTATAACGGCACCACATTGCAAGGTCTCGTCCTTGAGATGGTTGCCATAATGTTGCTACAAACTTCTGAGTTGCAAAGATAATGTGTAATCAACTGAGTGGGAACATCTCATTGCATGCTTGAAGGTGAGTGGGTATGTTCAAGGACAAGTGTCGTGGAGAACACGAATGTCGTGGGTTCACAGTGGCACAGTGATGTAATCAGCAATGTATTGGCTTCATATATGTTGCAATACACATTGTTACCAGTCAATGCACACACAGCGGGAACATTTTTCTCTTCCCACCCCTTGTAGTTAATGAAACTGAGCTATTGAGATAATGTTTCTCAGATGCACTTCTGTAAACTTATGCTAGGCACACCTGGTCAATATATCTCACTTATTAATGTGGTATCTGCCTGCTTCTTCCTCTTTTCAATGCCTAAGCACACTGAGGAAATGATTGGATTAATTTATCTGAACCCAAGGACAAAGCTAAATTTCGTTAAGTGCTAAAATTTTGTGAGATTTGTGACTGAAAAGAACATGTAACATTCATGCAGAGCTTGAATGGAGGGAGATTATTCAAACGTTTTTGGCAGTGCATCTAGCCAATCATAATATTTTTATGGAATGCACCCCTTCTGAAGTTCATCGGGAAAAGGTGCATTTACTTTTAGAGCCTCGTGCATTTTGCCAAGTTTCTAGTTAAAGCGCGGTGGAATCATGCATGATCAGCATACACATCTTGCTCTCAACAGTTTGTTTCTGTAAATTTGTCGCAGAACCTTCAGGAGCATGTTAACGTCACTGTTGTGTTAAGTATTTGCAGAGGCATGCAGTGTTCATCCCCGCCTGTCTGTGCACGTAGATTCGCCTGGTGCGGAATAGCCCCAGTTGTCCCGAGTTTGCAAACTCCTTCGATTCCGCCTTAGCCGTCTACTTCCAATACCAGGAGAAAATTCACAAGGACCCTCCCGAAAAGCTAACAGAACGGCGCTTTCGTCGCTTCCTAGTCAATAGCCCAATCCAGGTAGTGGCCGATTTCTTATTCGTTTAATTAGCGATCAATATTCTCAACATGAAAGTGAGAGAGAGAGAGCACTGTTGGTATGGTTCGCTGGTGCAGACTTGCGACGCACGTTACCACTCGGCTGCATTTTGTGCCACCTTATACTAATTTATCGATCTCCTGTTGCCTTGTGACCTTGCGCTTGTAGTTTTTTGCAATAAATTTGCACATGGTCACTCCAAAGCAGTGTTTCTGTGTTGTCATTGCTTTTTGTCCTGGTGTCTCAGACGTTCCCACAAATTGGTACCTATCGCAGTTGATGCTAAGCAGCTGTAAAAATATGTTATTCGCAAGCTGAGCAGGCCTGTGAATCATCAGTCTAAAAATTACACTTTTGTCATGCACACGAAACGTGGTGGAAAATTAAGGATGACAGGAAATGATTTGATAGTATCGCCCGAAATGTATGACCTATGCCTTGGAAAGATTCATTCATGCATTTCAATGAGAGTCCCCTGTAGCTGCCACTACCTCTTATTGGCCAAAAAAAAAATGCTTAAATGGCTAAAAAAAACAAGGATTTGGCGGGATCTGAGGATGTTTGCATGGGCAATTATAGAATAGCAAAATGGGCTAAACAGTGCTGTTCTGTGTACAGGGTGCCTGTGTTGATGGTTGAATCAATAGACATGACGCACTGCTGTAACTGGGATAGTTGCAAGGCAAAAACGCGTCAACCGTCGCATACTGCGCCTCACTCTTTGTTGTTGTTTTTGTTGTCGACACATTTTCCTTGTGCATGGCAGCATTATGCTGGGAATCTGCGAGAAGATAATGGTGGCCAGCATCTAACACAGATGCAGCACTGGTGTCATTGTGCACTTGGTTTCACCATCCAGTGTTTAGACACTCATGTGGAGACTGCATGTGCGTGTGAATTTCTCGAATTATTGCATTACTACAGATCTAGGAATAAACTTGAGGTACTTTATACCTAAACTTGAGGGAGAACATGCGGTTACGCTCGCTTTTCAACGAGCCCTGTGTCGTTGTATGAAAAGGTGCGGACGATTCCGTCGAGCCGAGGCTTGCCAGAGTTTGAGGGGACCTTTGAGACGTCATGGAAGCTTTACGAGCGGTACCAGATGCGAGTGCACAAGGAGCCAGCCAGCCAGTGTGACAGGGGGTCTTATTGCCAGTTCCTGGTGAACTCGCCATTACAGGTAAAATACTGAAGGAACTCTAAACCTCCATACAACACTGCTCTCTCTCTCACTGGTTAAGTGAAGTGTGGCACATGTCTGTTTGAGGAGCATGAAGTGGCATAAATCTGACAGAGTATTGATGTTGAAGGGACCCTGCAACGCTTTTTCAAATAACCATCAAATGGCTTCATTAAGGGCATTTATTGCCTAATGAAAAAACCGTCGCGAAAATTTTTAGAATTTGTCGAGTAGAAGCGTATTTAGAGGTTTGATGCATGCTGGAATCTAATCAGGTAGGGATGGAGAAAGAAGTTATACGTGCCTGTGCGTCATGATCTTGAGCATTTAAAAAATTTTTTTAATTGAAACGCACGGCTTAGTTTCGGTGTGATCACGAATGTGTACGAACACATGGTGGCCTCTCGTGGCAGCTGCAATAATTATACAACTTCGAATGCTCAAATCAGCCGATGGCCGAAAATTTCGAGTGTATGGTACAGTAATGTGGATATACAGCATCATTTGTAGAAAAAAAAGAAAGAACAATTTCTAGCTGACTTTGAGAATTGGTTGTAAATTACAGGCTGTGTACTGTGCTATAATGTTTTGCTCTCATGTTCTCAGTAGACTCGACTACCAACTGGCAGCATTTTTTGACCATGCTGAGAAAGCGTTGCAGGGCCCCTTCAAGAATTGAGATGTGCATTCATGTGTTTATGTGCAACAGTAGCTACAGTCTAGTAAACTTTCAAAGAATGATGCTTACAGTGATCTGCTCTCTCTGCTGCATGTTACATAATGTTAAGATGGCACTTGAGATCTTCAGAGAAACTCTTATAATGACTTGGACACTTAAGTATGGTTGTTTTGTTGCCAGTTATCGTTATGTTGCTATAAACGAGTTGCTCTATCCATGGACTTGTATTGAAAAATTAGTATAGAGATAATCAAGGTGTCTTCAGCTTGTGAAGATAGGTTTCTAAACTGATGTGCTCCCTGCTACTTGCCACACTCACAGTGTTAAACAACGGCTGAGGTGTATAGTTGTTGTGGCCGACTTCATATATAAGGAGTTCTTGTGCTACAGTCGCCATTGCGTTGCTACAAAGGGCACATGTAAAGGGAGCCAGCCCCAGATTTACGAGTAACCGTATATCGACATCGCTATTGGATCTTATTGGCCCTTAAAACTCCTGATGCAACACCTTATTATATTCGTCAAAAATAAACGAAGTTACAGGTGTCTTTATCGCAGGCTTAGAGCGCTCTCATTTTGTTTCGTCCTATGAAGTTTGATAGAAGCTGCAGGGAGAGGGGCAGGTAAAAGAGGGGGCAAGGAGATAACTATATAGTAAAAGCATGCATCATGGCCTTGAGCATTTTCTCTTTAACGTGTCGTGTGTCAAGTACTGCATATTGGGCAAGTTGGTGCATCATAATCTCATTTTGGTGTTGCGCAGCTCTATCTGAGCCTAAAGGGATGGTGTAAAGCAAAGAAAGAAATGGCAGGCAACAAAATGAGCGCTGAACCTCCAACTTGTTTTTAATCCGTAACTGTACCTCATTATATAGCTAAATTACAGCACATGTTATGTCACGCAGGGGGACAAGAAAACCCAGTAAAGTAAGGTTCAGCACACGCGACCAAAAAATGACGCATCTAAAGCCAATATGAAACCTTGCAATTTACAAGCATACGTCAGCACTTCACTGAACACGTGTTGTCTGCCCTAAAATATAGAGCGCTTTTCGAGATAAAGATACAGATGATGTACACGCACAGAGCTTAACACATTTCACAATAGAATTTGCTTCAATAATTGTATGTGTCAGCTGATTACCACTGCGGCCCTAATTGACACAACGGTCAAACACTGGAGTGCATACACAAATTTACGATGCAGCCAGGAATCTGCCTGAAAGAAACCGAAACATTGTTTCTTACATAGCAACAACGCTTGTGCAGACGTTCATTGACACGCCTATTAGTCTGTCCTGTGCAGACCGCGCCGCACAACAAAGGGACCATACATACGACAGTGTGGGAACTACTTTCAGCGTACCAGATCACATGACTCTTCCTGTGTCCAGGTTGCATATCTTTTTCAAGATTATTAAGCTTGCACAGCCGACCTAATTTTTCTGTAGCAGAAAACACTACATAGAAAATTCCTATCTGTGCAGTCTTCTTCAGATGCTGCGAAACTTCAAGGAGGTATAATGCTCGTTTTTCTAGCATTTGGCACTCCATTGTTCGGCTGCCATTCCCACATATGTGAAGTATTGAACATGAACTGTGGAAATTGAGGCTAGCCCGCTGCCTTTGCGTGGGCTTTGCCACCTTTTCTGCTGTTCTCATGTCCCGACATGTCTCCTTTGCTGTCTGCCGCGCTGGGAGAGCGGAGTGACGTTTAACCCCCTCACCCGGTAGCGGATTTTGACTGTGGCGCCGCGCGCGGAGTCTCCCGAGAGGTTTTCGCGCGCTGTGTCCGGAGCGGGCAGGGAGATACTCTCCGGGACTGCAGACGGTGAGCCACGCAATCTTTTTCGTCCGTCGACTCCCGTCGCTCGGGGCTCGTCGAACTTCGCTTACGGCGCCTCGCGCCCGAGGCGAACGCTCACCTTTTGTTGCCCCACTGCGTACGCATGGCCGAAGAGTGGTACGGTGTCCTAGTGCGCGGCCTAGCTACGCCGACCTGTCTCCCTCCGAAGCCAACGCGAGCGCCTTTGCCCTCGTTCGAGCAACCGGGCCTTGGTCCCGGTGTCTCCGTGGATCACCTTTACCGTGGAGACGTGCTCGGGGCACCCTGTGCAGTACTTTTATGCCCCTTGGCGTGGATAAGACTATTTGCTTTCCCGCCGCGCCTTTGCAACGAACTGTACTGCGTTTTGGTGTTGCCACAGACAATAAAGTGTTGCGACTTTGAGCAGTATCGTATTCTTGCCACGGCGACGGTTAAAGCGTGCCCTGCGGCTCGCTAAGACCGGACCCATGCTAGTGGCCGTACTCCTTCGGGATACGTGTCACTACAGCACTTAGCCACAGACACCTGCAGTAACATTGGATAGCCCACTAGGAATAATTGTGTACTTTGTCCTGCAAGACTAGCAGCCATAGCGTGATGGTGTGACCTCATTAGGGCATTCCGAAAGCACAGAGTGGCAATCTCACATTTTATAAGCTTGGAATGCTCTGAATTGTACTGCAGAAAAAGCTTTTCCAACTGAAGTGCATAGCAGCAAAGAGTATGTCCTACCATACAAGACAGACGAACGTCGGCAAACTGGATAGAACCACCTTGTGGTACTACAGTAGGTGACATTAAGAGGAATCAAGCACTCTTTAATGGTTGGCATGATTGCTGCAATGTGGTGTTCTATGTCGATTAGATTACACTAAATAAAAAACAAGAAATCATCAGTATAACAAAAAATGTGTCAAGTTGTGCATGAGTACACCATTTGTAGCTTTATCTAGAAAAGATCTCAATTTTTTTTTAGGCTGCCAGTCTGTGTTCAGGGAAATACTGATGCTTTTAAATTGTAAGAATATAATTAATTTTAACTGCTTTTGTTTGGTCACGTGCGCTGTGCCACATGTTTAATTGTGGTTTTTTTTTTTGGTCATGTGTACAATGTCACGTGTGCTGTAAGCGAGCTGTATAATGTGTTATGGGATAAATACAAGTTTGAAGTTTAGAGCCCATCCTGTTGCCTGTCATTTCCTTCTTTGCTATTGTCCGTTTCCTTCAGGCACAAACGAAGTTTTGTTGGGTAACACTTCTAGTTTAAATGAGCACGGTGCCAGAACGTGGTGTGCACAATACCTACACGACCACAGAGTTTCATTAAAGTACACTAAACAGAAATCTGGCACTGGTCTCTATGGAAGCTGCAGTGCAGGAAACTTCAGCTGACATGAGAGTAATAAGTTGTACATGGATTCGCAAGCTTTGTTCCTTCGGCTTCGTGCTGTTCCATGTGACCTGCAGCTGCTTCGTCGTAATGCGAAGTCCAGCAAAAGCTCCGTATACCCACATCATCACCTTGACACCTTTTAGACTTATACTCTGAAATCAGTTGATGAGGTTCGCAACGAGTCATGCTTGTCACATCTTTTATCCTAAACAAAAGGCAAAACACAGCAGTAAACAAAGCCACCAGAGCACTTGAAGTCGCAAGCCATAATTCCCTTTAATAAATTTTGTAGTAAATTTTATGTATGTATACAGGTAGTGTACTACCGTGATGCTAAATAGTCGGCGCAGTTGCATCATTCATTTCCAGTTTTGTTGATAGGACTGGCGAGTGATTTGAAGTCCACTTGTTTTGTCCCCTGATGCAGTATGATCCAAAAGGCCCTTACAGCTTGGGCTCATTCCACCAGCAGTACTGGCTAGACGGAAGGCTGATTGCAGTTGGCGTCATCGACGTATTGCCGACGTGCCTTTCTTCAGTGTATCTGTACTACGACCCGGACTACAGCTTTCTGTCCCTAGGCACGTATGCATCACTCAGGTAAGTTTGTCATCTTCCTATCGCATTCCTGTGTTGTAAGCATGCATTTTTTTAGACGGCATAGCGGAACTGCAAGGTGGTCAGGAATCTTCTCCAACTTTTTTCCCTAACAGTTTCGCTTCGAACGATTAAAAATATATTCTAAAAATATCTAAAAAATATTCAACTTGATTCACACTCGCACTTCAATATTACAATTCACTTTGCATCCAAGATATTGCAATTTACACAGCTCTACAGCACATCTCTTACGTCTTTCATACGTCATTTATGACAATGAAAAAGGAACAAATGCTGAAGTAGTACGAAATGTCATGCAGTTAGTTTGTTAGTACTATTGTCATTGCTGTTATTTTGTATCTTACTTGCTTCTGCAATTAATAGTTCAGTTTGCACTGATAAGGCACTTTTTCTCTCATATTATATAGGGAGATAGCTTATGCAAGACAGCTGCACAAAATGTGCCCCAGCATCAGGGAATACTGCATGGGCTTCTACATCCACACCTGTCCCAAGATGAGATACAAGGTATGCCCTAAACAGAGGCCAGCTTGTATATGTCTACAAGGGATGTCATTTGTCATCCAATCAAAGCCACATTTAAAGGAGCAAGGATGGGCTACGTGGAATCATAGTGTATAATAGATTGCCTTCGTCTTTTTCATTGTAAAAAAAAAAAGAGGCACCTCGGTGTGTAATGGAGAGCATATTTGTTCTGCACGTTCACAAAGGAGTTGTCGCAAGTTCACTATTGCGACATCTGTGCTTGTTATAGACAAAGGTGTACCAGCGAAGCATCATTTGGGGAAAATGGTTCATGAGAATCTCGGAAGGCTGGCTCGAGCAAACCTGCCAGTATGGATTATTGTAAAACAAACAGCTTAGCCTACAAGGAATTTCTGATAGTGCATCTGCATGAGTCTAAAACTACTATCAACTGTGAGAAAAGAAAAAATGTTTGTAGAGCACTGCTTTGCTTGTTTTATTTTGAAATATTGAATCATATGTTCATAACTAATTCTTGTCAACATAAGTAACGCTCCTTATTCTCAGGACACAGAAGGCTGAAGAAGAAAGATAAGAGAGTTCAAGCACCCTCGCTTTACCAGAGTTTGATCTGATGCGGCGAAGTCAAAGCTAGTTAATCAAGAACAGTTGCCAAGGAACACCTCTTGTTGTTGTTCTTTGTCTAGAGTGCACTAATTATAACAAAGCCGGCATTTGTGTAGATGAACATAGACACAAAAAGATGAGGCAGACAAGGAAAGGCGCTTCTAACAGCTCAAAGACTAATATTCCAATAGCTATGTGTAGTTATAACACCTCAAGGAAATCACCCAGTCTAACAAAACTACAAACTCCCTAGAGAGCAAGTGAGCAAAAGGCAATCATTAAATAACTTTTAAGAAATCTCTAGTTGCATTGTATGTAACACACATCAACGAAATGCGCCAAAACTCGAGTTCTGCCGTGTTCTTTCCTTTAGATGAAAGTGCATTTCTTTTGCCCTGACGCGTTGCTTTTTTTTTATTTCCAGGGTAACTTCTCTCCATCTAGATTGCTATGCCCAGAGACCTACACATGGCATCCCATAGAGAAGTGCAAGCCCCTTCTGGATGTCAACAAGTACAGTCGCTTTGAAGAGGACCAAACCAAAGGTGCTTGTCATCACTGCTTAAGAAATTGTCTTCGAAAGTCTAATCGCTCATTACTACTGCATTCATAGTGGTTGAACTGTACATTTCTTTCATCCAGCATCTGGATCTTACCACAAAGAAAGTAAACAGAACGGCTTCAATGTACCTTGGGTCCACCACCACCCCAAAAAATGGCTGCTGTTGGCAATGGCATTTCTGTTGTCCGACAAGCTTGTATTCTTTCACCAGTATAAGAGCGCAAATGCAGTTTATGCTTGTATACAAATTTCTTCTCACTGCAGGCTCATACTTTTCATGCGAACTCACGAGCTGGTTACTGCTGTTTACTACCAAATGAATGCTTCACGTAAAAAGCTTGATTATATGTAATGTTTTTTTTTTTTCAAGGTCAAGTTAGCTGGACCGCTCAGTCCTTGAAGCACAACACAGTTTTGTTGTCCATCTCGTTAGCCTGGTCAAGTAAATGCTAACATGTCACTCTGACTTGTCATCCCAAACTGTTTATAACTGCCAAAGATTTTGTATGCCCTGAAAATGCAACCTCGGGCAGTTCAGGATTTATCAAAGAGCCTCAGTATCTTCTCCAATGCACTGAAGTGTATACGGGTGGTACATGCAGCATGGCTTCAGAGACTAGCGTGCACTGTTCAAACTTCGCCATGCCTGCCAGTGCAGTACGGAAAACAAAGAAAGTCGCATCCCGGAATTCCGAGGGACGGGCTAGGATCAGCAGTCCCAGACGCTGTACCGTACGTTCTCAATCTCCGTTTTCTCCAGTGTGTCGGTGCATACTACAGGGTGTGGCCAGTGGTCCAAGAAGGGAGCAGAAGATGCTAATAATAAGCAGTGTGGCAGTTAATGTGACAGTTATAAGCGGCTGATTTGACATAGATCTATCACTCGGCTAATTCACTAATTTTGTTTTTTGGCAAGCAGGTGATGAAAATGCCGTACAAGACCTGAATGAGGTGATGATCCTCTACAACAGGACAGTCATCACGTACAAGAAGTACTGTCGGCTCAAAGGAAATGCTGACAAAGCCGAGGTCAGAGAGTATGCAAACCTCGTTGGCAAGAAGTGCATCAAGCGGCTCTTCCTCTACCGCAAGTCATGACTGGCAGTGATTAAGCCACCGTCGTGCTTTTATCTCTTGTGATAACTATAACTTGGACTGTTTCTTCAACTTGGGTGAATAAATCGAAATTAGGAATATGATGCCTACTTTCTCTGAATTTCCTTATATATATCCATATGGTGACTTAGTGACATCTTGCCTTTTACACCACCAAATCTTCATTCGAAAGTATCGGGGACGTGCTAACACTGGAAAGTTTCAAATATTGATCCAAATGAAGTCCTATCTGATTAGGTATTCAGGTCAAATCTCTTCTGAAAGGTTTGCTAAATTTATGGCATGCCTGTGCAACAATAGCTGTTACTATTTTGCACTGACAATCAACAAATAAGTGTGTCATTGTGGATCTGTCTTTCTTATTAAAGAAAATGATAATGGTAGTTTCACATTGCACTATTCAAACAGAATGACGGTTCAACAGTTACAATCATTGAATGCCTGAAATGAAATAAAAAAGTTTATGAATTATGTTCAAAATTTTGTACATCCACACACATCCTCACATGTGGATTCCATACATTCACTTAAATGCAAGTCAAAACAGTTTTAGGGGCGAAGCACCTCAGAGTCGAGCCTTGTCCCTCTGGTATCCATTGTCCTAGCTTGCACGCGCTGGGCGTGCTGGCCGCGAGCGGGCCGATCGTAGGTAGAAGATAGAAGATGAGAAGGATGATCACAGGTGCACTCGTGGCACGCTGTTCTTTTTCTGCAGCGGCCCAAGAGCTATAAAACGCACTCACTTCTGGCTATCTCTTTCATGGTCATGTAGTGCACTTCGTTATGAAAAAAGAAGAAAAAAGAGACAGACAGACAGAAAAAATATACGGGGGTTAATGATCTACCGGAGCCTCGCCCAGTCGCCATCATTCACTTCGTGGATATGCTGTGATTTTTTATATATACCCAGGAACAGCAAGAACAGACACTGAAAATTTTAACGTGAAAGAGTTTAAAAAAAATGCTGACATTGGCAGCGTTGACCTGATGAATGCAAAGAATAAATGTCGGGGTCCCAGCAGGCATTCAACCCAATAGTTCTGCGTGGCAATGAATAAATAGAACGCAGAACCACGTCAAATCTGTGAACTGTTTTTCAAGAAGACCTTAATGTTCGTAGAACGTCAATTGTGGTTGCAGTGCTGGCTATCTAATTTTATAAACATTGGATATATATTCCTATGATACAGCCATCACGTTGTGGGAATTGAGGCTGGCCCGCTGCCTTTGCGCGGGCTTTCCCGCCTTTCTGCCATTCTCATGTCCCGACATGTCTGCCCTCCTTTGCTGTCGGCCGCGCTGGGAAGGGCGGAGTGACGTTTAACTCCCTCACCCGGTAGCGGATGTTGACTGTGGCGCCGCGCGGGGAGCCTCCCGAGAGGTTTTCGCGCGCTGCGTCGGGAGCGGAGAGTACAGTCCGGGACTTCAAACGGTGAGCCACGCATTCTTTTCCGTCCGTCGAGTCCCGTCGCTCGGGGCTCGTCGGACTTCGCTGACGGCGCCTCGCGCCCGATGCGAACGCTCACCTTTTGTTGCCCCGCTGCGTACTCACGGCCGAAGGGCAGTACGGTGTCCTAGTGCGTGGCCTAGCTACGCCGACCCGTCTCCCTTCGAAGCCAACGCGAGCGCTTTTGCCCTCGCTCGAGCAACCGGGCCCCTTTGTCCCGGTGTCTCCGTGGATTACCTTTACCGCGGAGACGTGCTCGTGGCACCCTGTGTAGTACTTTGTGCCCGTGGCGTGGATAAGCCTACTTGCTTTCCCGCCGCGCCTTTTTGCAACGAGCTGTACTGCGTTTGGTGTTGCCACAATAAAGTGTTGCGACTTTGGGCAGTATCGTGTTTCCCGCCACGGCGACGGTTAACGCGTGCCCTTCGGCTCGCTAAGACCGGACCCACGCTGGTGGCCGTACTCCTTCGGGATACGTGCACACCACAACGTCGAGTTAACGTCATTTTAAGTTTCATCCAATGAAGTTGGTCTATGTAGCACTGTGGATATAGATAGTGACTATCCATAGTGCACTAGTGATAGTGCACTATCCAGTGATAGCACCATCCAGTGCTACCATACCTGCAAGCACAAGTGCTATATATAAGCTTACCACTTCTGATCTTGGCAATACCCATGTTGCAACTGTAAAAAAAAAAAAAAAGCTGGCTATAAAAAATTACGGCGTAGATCCACGAAGTGAATGATAAGTGCACGAAGCAGTGGGATCGTTCAGTGTTACCGTAAATCACACGTTAGACTAACCAGTCATGCATGCAAATGAGTGTCCAGCGGTGTACAGTTATATACAGTGTTAATTGGTCATAGCTGGTATGTTTTATTGAGTTGTGGTATCAGCCTGAGGTTGGCAAAGACGAAGTCTGGGCACGTTCTCCTGGTGGTTGTTTCTTGTCATATGAAATGCGTAGTAGAGCATCTGGAGATCGACATCATATACTGAACAAGCCACTCGTTTGTGATCATAATCTTTGTGATCGTCATCAACGTCGTCATCACAGCCGGTGCAGGCCAACAAATAAGCCTTGACCTTAAGGAGCTTCACCCCTACAACACAAGACTGCTCAACATATATCTATGCGTACAATATTTGTACACATATTCAGCATCATTTCGTCACATCCTGTAGAGTGCACACACTTTTGCATTAACCACAAAAAGATTTAATTGGCCTGTGTGCAGCAAACGTGCTGTTGCTGGCATAGGGCCTAGTTCTACAATATGGCGTTTTATGTCAACCCAATGCATATGCTCAATTGCACTTCACTAGACCATGGTCATCATCAAATCATTTGTGAGGACTAACGGTAGACACTGGTCACCAGGAACCCGCACGTCACTACTCTCTATACTAATGGTGGCCAATGACTATTAGACGTGCATTAGGTGTGCATTAGAAAGTGCATCAGACTGTTTAATGATTCAGATGTATAAAATAACGTTAAAAAAACGTACTGTGGCCCCCAGACAATATTATAAGAAATGTGTGCACTTTGAGTTGCTAAACGCCCGTATGGTCGGTGAACATGCAGTCTGCATGCGCCAGAACAGAAAGAAAGTTGGACTTCAAAGACTTTATTAAGAACATGCCACACTTCTGAGCACGGAGGTAGCTTCAAAGGCTTTTTGTGAGGCTGCTGTCACAACAGTGGCCAAAGCTGTTCCCTACTTCACCAGCTGGACCGTCTCAGCCGCAGTAGGCAGGTCCCGCGTATACATAGTCGACGTGTATTCATCGCAGAATTTTTTCACGAAGTCTTGGCAAGAGTTTTCATACACATCATACGCCCCGAGGCACTCTCTACGTAAACATCATATTTCGTAACTGCTCATAGTCCTAATTGAATTTGAAATCAAGAATAGACATTTCTAATTAAAATAGATTTAATGGTTGTGAAGTATAAATAATTCAAGTCTTACTGATATGTCACATAACAAAACATGATGGCCTATATCTTTTAAAGGGATACTGCAAAGTGACATCTATACTGTGTCGCAGCCGTTCCATGTAGTATGGTGCCAGCTAACCACAGAAAGCATTTGTCGGTAAGTGCGTCAAAGCATGGCACAGAGCTGTCACTGACATCAGTTTCATCCTGGTCTGCTTGCTGTAGCCATAAGCTTGATTTAAAGGAAAGCAGTATCAGGGCCACTTTGCTTCGGCTGTGCTCTTTCCAAAAAGTTCTATACTGCAATGCACACTATCTCCCTTCAGTACCGTGCTATGGCGAAGTAATAAAATATGTACCATGTGGCAAATATATTGCTTTTACAGCATTCAGATTGACAATAACTTGCATAGCTGTAACTGAAACGCTTTAATGCATTTTTTAAATGACAACTACTCTACATGTATAGTCAATCCAAGCCCTGCGCACGTAGTCAATTTCGGTGCTTACTAAAGTTGCGCTCCCAGGTCCAGGCAAGAGGCCTCACGGAGTTTTTACTTTTTGGCCTGCCCGCAAAAATGCTGAACCATCTTATACCCATAGTGTTTTTCGATAACCTTAATACATGGAGAAACACTCGTTACCGTGATGGTGAAGCTGTGGACCGTCTGTTCCCCAGTTTTCTGGATAGCCGTCTTTGGTATTTCTCAAGCCTGTGGATGTTTTGAATTTCATTGGTCTGTTTTCGTAATTTGACGACTCCATGCTATTCTAAACAACAAAAAGAGAACAAAGAGGCACGTGGCGCTGACATAAAAAAATTGCTCCCACCTCCTCGAAGGGAATCGTGAGGAAATGTGAATGCATTTCCTGCACCGAGAGTACACGGCGTAGTTGCGCAAAAGGGCTCCACGCTCTTAGCGCGGAGCAAAGATCGGGGTAAGGACGGGAGCGCAAAAACACGCGTATTTCTCAGTTGAAATCTCATCGTCGTGTCCTAAAAAAACCGCCTGGCCCAGTGGCTGTCCCCAGTTTCATAGATTGTAGTGCTACATTTATCTCTCTTCGACTGATGAAGGGACGTGCAGAGAATCAGCACCTTGTTGAGGAACGTGAGGCAAACCTCTAAGCCTAGGCGGTATTATATCACAGTTTGTCCGCATGGCCGAACATGACATCTCTTCAAAATGCGCGAAAAAAAAAAAAAAAGTGATCGATCACGCGTAGGAAGCGGCTGTGTAGGTGGTGTCTGCGTGGTCATAAAAACAAAGAAAGAAACTGAATGATTCCCCGTACACTGGGAATCGATGATGTGCGAAGCACGAATAAGAAAGGTTATGTCCCTTTAAAATCAGGCCAACGTTACAAGGTGAAGGTAAATGATGCCGTACATGACTTCCGTGTCATGATCACGTTTGCATGTGTCGTTTACCTTCCTCATCTATTCGCGTCACGTGATACCAAATTCAGTATATGTAGAGCTAGCGAAACGGCCGCGAGCACGCAATTAGCGTGGTGTGTTGTCATGTTCTTTCATGACACGCGTGTCAAGATAATCATGTTTGCACCAGTCATAGTCACCATCCATTGACGTCACGTAACACCAAATTTGGTATATGTGGAGCTAGCAAAATGGCCACGAGCGCATCAAGAAGGGCCTAATATACCCCAATGTAGCGTTGACGTG